CTTCCACATTTGTATACGTTTTCCCATTAAGATGGTGTTGCAGCGAACGAAACACATTGTCATCTGATGGTGCCATATCTATAGAATATGGTGGGTGTGAGAGAACTTCCCAACCCAACTCCACAATCTTGTGTTGCGTCAAACGTGCCACATGAAGAACACATTTCCGATTGACGAGTGAAGGGCATTTCTAATGAAGGGCTTGATACGTTCCAGTTGCTGACTATAGATCTCTGCATTGACATTTAGCTGTGGATCGAAGTGTTCGAAATGAATTACTCCTTTGATGTCCCACCAAATGCAAAGCATCACTTTCTGCGGATGGAGTCCAGGTTTTGGAGTCGGAAGTGTTTTTTGTTTTTGGTGTTTAATATTCGGATAGAGGATCCAATTTTCATCATCAGTGATAATTCTGTCCAAAAATGGTTCACGCGCATTACGTGCCAGAAGATACGAAGCAACGTTCACACGTTGGAAACGATGATCATCGGAGAGTTCGTGTGGCACCCAAACACCTCCTTTATAGAGTTTTCCCATATTCCTTAGATGTTTACATATTGTTTCATGAGAGACATGTAATTTCAGGGAAATTTCACGAGTGTGTTGCCTTGAGTAAGATTCAACAAGCGTCTTCAGAGCATCAATATCAATTCCTACATGTCTGCCCTTGCCATCACAGTTTTTAAGGCTAAATTCACCTGAACGAAATTTGCTGAACCATTGTTGACACTTACAAACTTTTGAAACATTTCCATAAACTTCTTTGATATTCTTTGTGGCTACAGAGGCGTTGTTTTGTTTCCCTTCTTGTATTCAAACAACATTACATGACGATGGTGTGTCTCCTCGTGTGCCATCACTATAAAGGATTAGAGTATACTAAACTTTACACATTATATGAGCTACACTAACGTAACGTTTAGGCAGTTCATTTAACTATTATATTTGATGTACTTTTTTGGGGGGAGGTTAACGAAAGTGTTCCAAAACGCGACCTTGACGACCTAATATGTTTTAAATAGATACGTGCTTTCAATAACGCTATTGTTGTGTTATGTAATTGAACGTAAATGAAATAAAACCTACTAAGCAGAATATGGAGTTGTCTTTATATTTAAAGTTAAAAGTGTTAAACATGGAATGACTATAAATGAAATGTATCTCTACACAACAATTTTTGTAAAACATCTTGTCTTTGTGGAAAATCGCTATATTTGACTAAAATATTGAGATTTTTTTCTTCATAGAACTGTTGATAAAGCGACATTATGAAATAGTGAATTTTAAAAAATATGGTATCAAGAACTATACTATTATGGTACAAGATTATAAACTGTCTTTGTATGTCTCTACTTAGCTTATTTTTATTTTTCCTTCCATAATGGTATAAACTCATTTTATTTCCAAGTAGACGCCAAGTCTACTACCACCAATAACTTTAAGCCTAATTTTCGATTTTTAGGCGCCTGTATTGAGATAGCAGAAAAAGTACAGTTTTGCCCAAAATGTTTGCTTTCTGTTCTATGTTGATGTTATTGTCTACATGCATGGAGTAGTTATTGAGTAAATGCCCAAGTAGTAACAGAAAAAGTAGCGTATGATTGGACAAACATGTACGAGTTATTATTCTGGTCTGTATAAGTTGTTTTGAGCATTATTCGTCAAAACATACATACACACCTGTTTTATATAAAATAGTGTGCTTTTGGTATAATATTTTTTGAAACAGATCAACGCTTTGTTCAGACAGTTTCTCTGTAGTTGGTGTAGAGTCATGCCTCATCACGTGCCAGACGTTATAGGGCATCAAATTGTTTGACTCTCCAGAAATGGTATGAAGCAAATAGACATTGCCAGAACAGTAGGGTACCCCCAGTGTACTGTAGCCAGAATCCTGAAACGTCATAGGACTATAGGAAACGTTGTTCTATGAAAGTCTACTGGTAGACGCAGAAAACTACTGCCCGAGATGGCCTTGTTTTGATTAGGTTAACACGTCAAGATCGAAAGAAGTCTTGCAACACCTTAGGACAGGAATGACTATAAACGAAATGTATCTCTACACAACAATTTTTGTAAAACATCTTGTAAGACGTCATTTAGCAGGAAGGACTATCTGCAAATCGATATTACCCAAAATTCACCGCCATCACCGTGTTATTTGGGCAAGACAGCATGGCAACTTAAAGTTAGTACATTGGTAACATGACTTGGACAAGACAGCATGCCAACTTAAAGTTAGTACATTGGTAACATGACTGGGCAAGACAGCATGCCAACTTAAAGTTCGTACATTTGTAACATGGCTTGGGCAAGACAGCATGCCAACTTAAAGTTCGTACATTGGTAACATGACTTGGGCAAGACAGCATGCCAACTTAAAGTTAGTACATTGGTAACATGTTATCTTTTCAGATGAGTCCTGCTTCCAGCTTGTTGAAGATAACGGTAGGTTTCGTGTTCGCCATTTGCCTGGAGAACAAATGAGGGAAGACTGTTTTTCCCACAGGAGGTGATGCAGTACATCTTTCAGCATCTTTTCATCATGGTGGAAAAACTACTCTTCATATTCTCCAGGGAAACGTCAATGGCGCATCCTACAAACATCACATGCTAGGAGAAGGTTTGGAAATAACTTTGTGTTCCAGAATGATAATGCCACTGGGCACAGTGTGCGCATTGTACAGGATTATGGACGTTATGTGATTGTGATGGCCAGCAAAGTTGGGCAGAACTGAGCCGGATAATTACTAACTGCGATCCTAAACTAGCTACTTTAGCTGAGTTGCAGCGCCTTCTAGTGACAAGTTGGGATGAAATCACATTGAATTACATCAATAACCTCATCGACAACATACCACGTCGCCTTGCAGAGATTATTAGAGTACGAGGAGGACCAACCAAGTACTGAATGTTTAACATTAACTGATATAAGGTTACAGACGCTATTTATAATAATTTAATGTAATAGTTTGTCATTATATATGATTTGATAAGGTTTTGTTGTGATTTTGCTTGTTTATAATTAAGCACAAAGTTACACAATGGGCTGTCCATGTTCTGCCGACCACGGGTATCAAAACCCGGTTTCTAGCGTTGTAAGTCCGCAGACATGCCGCTGTACCACTGGGAGAGGGGAGGCACTTGTTGTGATAGGTGAAATGCTCAACTACACATCTTTCTACAGGTGTCTGATAAAATTGTTTGCTGTTGTAATAAATCGTTCATGATATCCTTAGAATCTGTCTTATTATAGAAATTAGAAGTTTACTATAACATGCAGTTCTCAGTTTGACAGCCTAAGTGTATGTGTATTCCATCTTAATAATAATGATCTTATTTGTTACAAAATATGCACAACTGTATGATAGTTAAAAAAAGAGGATTTTTGAAAGTATGGTATCAAGAACTGTAAAAATCTGTTGTCTTCGTTTCTCGATAATTCACTTATTTTCCCTTTTCCTTTCCATAATTCATGAAGTATTTTTCTTTCTTTCTTTTTACTCTCCTCTAAAATATTAATAAAGCGTTTACTACCACTAAAAACGGAAATGGTGTAATATTTTATTCCCCTAGCGGGTAAACTCGTTCTTCGTGTATGAAGTATATTTAAACTTAATGCTAAATTGTCTATTTTTAGGTGCCTATATTGAGACAGTTGGAAACGTATAATAGTTCTAAAATAGTGAATTTAGAAAGTGCTATCAAGAAATCTCGTCAAGTTGTTGTTTGTTTTTTGTAAATTTCATGTGTGTGTATACGAGTCTAAATAGCATTTATGTATCATCTAAAACTTGTAATTATTTTCTTTCGCGCAATTTATTAGCTGTTGAGTATCGGAATTGCCGTAGATTATATAGCGGGTAAACTCGTGCTTCGCGTACAAAACATATTTAAACGTTTTCAGACGAGACCCTAAACGCATTTAAACTTTAGGCCTAACTGTCGGTTATTAGTCGCCTGTTGGAATTTGTATTGAGATGATATTGCGTTATTTATAAGCCACGGATTCCTGAGAGTATTTATTAATGACTTTCCTGTCATGTTATGTTAGTAAAAACCATTACATGCAAACAATGCAAGTAAAAACAAAAACATTCGGCAAATGAAACACATGGTGTACTTTTACCTTTCCTTTACATCGGCTCCCACTGGATAAGAGGTAAGTTCTTATAATCCTAAATCCGGGGCTCGATGCCCAACTGTAGACAGAGTGCAAATAATCTATTGTTTAGTTTTTAGCTAACGTAACAAACAATCTTTCAACATCAAGCAAATTTTGCAATGAATTTCGTTCTAAGATTATATATATCTACTAACACTAAAGGTATAAATAACCGTCATGTTCGAAGATTAACTCAGTATGTTATACCCCTTTCAGTAAGAACAGACGCACTGACTGAAGAAGAATTATGGAGTTATGACAGAACGGCCTATAACGGTAATATAAGTTCACGGAACGAAATATACATATATAAATACTGTAACTGAAATAATTCAGGAATAGTGTTTTAATATCAATAAGAAAAACCTACTTTGTTCGAGATTTTAACGTCCTTGTAGGTGTAAAATCTCCATTTTGCTGATAGTTGTTAGTCTAGTGATTTGTACAGTTTCAAAATCAACACTATCTACACCTTTTTCAGTTGTTAGATTTGTTTCTTTTTATAAACTCCACAAGATAACTGAAAACTTCGTAAATAAACATATTTGTTTCCTGAATATAAAAGGACAAAAACACGGGAAACAGAAACAGTTTAATTGTATGTTTTGACAATTCTTTGTTTTATTTGAATCTTATTTACCTGTTTGAATTATAAAGTGTTAATGGAAGAGAGACGAGCGCGACCCAGTGCTCCCCGCACTGTTGACGTTAGGTTCTGTGAATCGCACCCCCTATTACATGAAAAGTATTCCGTATTTTGACGATGTGGTGCATTATAAGAGTGACGGTCAAACCCACTATTTGGTGTAACAAGGGGAACTAAAAAGTTGGCAGTGGGTGATGTTGAGTAACTGTTTTCCCACTAGTCTATCACTTCAAAATTAGGGACGGCTATTAGTTTTGCGTGAAATTGAACAAACAAATAAAGCTAACAGATAAATAAATAAAAGAAAAGACTTACAATATATTTAGATAAATATTTGTCTCAGGTGAGACTTCTTTCCCTGTCTTGAAGTAGCACAATTACACTGAAAAGTATTTCTAAACGCATCAAAGCAGTAACAGATTCAGTATGTAAAATACAGAAAAACAACAACAGTGAAGTACATGTATATATTTGAGTAAGGAAAGAATTAAGCAGAAGGTAGATAAATAGAAATAAAATATATTATTTATTTCACTTCAAAATACATTGTTCATCATTTATTTTGTTATTAACATTGTATTATTTGACTATTAAACACTTACAATTAAGAACATTTATTAATTTTACGGTATGCGTGCCACTGGTAAGATGACAATATAAGGAGTATTTTTTAGCCAATGGAATTTGCTTTAAATAAAACTTTTTTTTAATCCATACGATTTGAACTTGCATATCCTTTAACTTGTACTTAGTGGATAACTTTAACGTTACAGTGATTCTTCCATATGCATGTACGTGGTTTACTCTTGGTTAAGAAACACTCAACACGTATTAACGTTCAATATATTATGAAATTATTTCGTTATTAAAAAGTAAATATTTATTCAGAGGAACATAAGTCATGAAAAGTTGAGATTTATCTTGAGTTATGCCGATTTACACTTTCATCTTTTAACTTAAAAAGGAACCAGCATCTTTAACATCCCTCTATTGTAAGAATTAACACTTGTTTTAAATGGTTTTAACGTAGATTACTGTATAGTCAAGGTGGTTCATTGGTTGTTTTTTCTCTCTGTACACGGTATTTCATAACTGAGCCAAGATTGGTCGTTAACATATAAGTTGGAGAATATTTTCCCTGTCAAATGTTTTTGCAGCAAGTATACAGAGTGTAAGGAATTATCAATATTATTTTTATGTATCGTGTTAATCTTACATTCTTATGTGTAAAACGATCATTCTGACAATCCTTCTGATTGGTTATTATAACTGTTAAAGGTCCAGATAATTGGAAATTAATGTTTCCATCTTGTGAAGGTGATAACCAATCGCCCATCAACATCGACATTGAACAAACCCGCATGAGTTCAGAACTTGGACCGTTAGTTTTTCACAATTTTGAGAAACCGTTTGTGAACTCCGTTCTATGTAATAGCGAATACACAGGCAAGTTCCTTTTATACGACTTTGATATTTACTTAGCGTATAAAATGCACTAAAAAATACAAATTATTTATGTAACTTCTTTCTTACAAGTATGTATGTTAGTAACAGTGGTGGTAAATTAAAATGTTTAACTTAAGGCCTTTAGTTAGTTAGTTAAATTACTCTGTGCTTTTGCAAGACCTTTCACCTTTACCTTTTAACATCATTAGAGCCATTGCGTCACATATTTTTGTCCTAGTAACCATTACAACCCACGTAATTTAAACGTATTTGTTTTAATCACGGTATGAGACGTTGACATTCTGTTTCAAGTTTTACGCCATTTCAAACACACCTTTACAGTACGGTGGAGTTATTTCAAACACACCTTTACAGTACGGTGGAGTTATTTCAAACACACCTTTACAGTACGGTGGAGTTATTTCAAACACCTCTTTACAGTACGGTGGAGTTATTTCAAACACCTCTTTACAGTACGGTGGAGTTATTTCAAACACACCTTTACAGTACGGTGGAGTTATTTCAAACACACCTTTACAGTACGGTGGAGTTATTTCAAACACACCTTTACAGTACGGTGGAGTTATTTCAAACACATCTTTACAGTACGGTGGAGTTATTTGATTAATGAAGTATCAACAGTTTGATTCTTTATACACACTTCGTAATGTTTTAAACTGTAAAGTCAGCAGTCTTAACGATTCAGGTTTTAAATCATTATATTAAATATTAATCGACTGATTAAAAAGTCTTACAATTGGATCCTTAATCTATGTAATATTCGTGTTACAGCAAACTTACTTCTAGATAGACCAGATCCGGTGGAAGTGGAAGGTGGAAACCTGGAGGGGACGTTCCAGTTTCATAAACTGCTTTTTCACTGGGACAGTACGACTTCAAACGAAGGATCAGAACATGCCATTAACTTGCTTCATTATCCTCTGGAGGTAACACAAAGTTTAAAAAGTAGATAAAATGCTAAGTTATTTTAATGAATAACCTATTATAAGAATCAAAATATTAATACATAACTGTTACCGACCATTAAAAAGCATGTCTGAAAATAAATTTGTCTTTGTCGAACTGTTTGAACTTAAAACTTACACGACTTTTTCAGAATGTTAGCAGTGGGTATAATTTTGGATTATAACTTTGGATTTTTTTTTTACTAAATTGTATAATTTTAAGGAAATGTTTTTTTAGTGGGGAGTGGGTCAATAAGTAAAATTATGTATTTATTTTTCTTTTTGTTATTGTTGTTTTTCCCCCCACTATTTAGATGCAGTTGGTGGCATTTAACACAAAGTACCAGAATATTACTGAAGCATTAACCTATGGCGACGGTATAGTGGCGTTCGCAGTGTTGTTTAAGGTAAAAGTTGTATTTAGTCAAGTTATTAACATCTTGTGCCTGTGTTAGAGTTATAGAAAAATAGACATTTGGTATTTTCAACCATGAACAATATCTTATGCGACACGGTAAAATTCAGACATAGTCATCTCTAAATTGTTGACCAGAGGGAGTTATATCAAAGGTGTATGATATTCGTGAAAATAATTAGTAATAATATCTGTATATATAAATTCAATTCCCGTCATATTAGAAGAGACATTTTTCTTCTGTAATTCAGTATACATATATAGTTATCCTACTATGTTTCGCTATTCTGGTCACTTTTAGTAACTTGTGTTTTAGCTAATACTTTTGTTTCTTCGGAATATTCGTGCAGAACTACACAGGGGACTATCTCGCTAATTTTAGCTGATAGGAGTTCCTGTTGTTTTTAGCGCAAAGCTACAGAAGGGCCTATCAGCGCTCTATCCACCTCGAGGATTCGAACCCGGATTTTAGCGTTGTAAGTCTGTAAACTTACCGTTGATCTACTTGGGGAATGAGCTGATATACTATAGCAGTATAGAGAAGGCAGCTAGTCAATAGAAAACTCTTGGGCTACTCTAGTTGAACAGTGGGATTTGACCATCACTTCTATAATGCTTCCACAACCCTAAAGTTCGAAGCGCGATTTTGTGGCAACAGGACATGAACCACGGACTCTAGGATTTTACAGTCCGGTACGATGCCATTTAGGAGACACTCGGCCCAGCTAATAAGATGTTTGCACTCGATCGCATGTGTTTTAAATGTTAGTATTTATTGTTGTTAATTGTCATTTATACAAAAAAAACGTTAGTAATTATCGTCAAATAATTCGTTTCGTATTACAATTATTCGCTTGCTCACAGTGATGCTGACTTTCATCCGCTGTTCAGTTCAGTCAGGTAAAAAATCCATATATTGATAGAATAAGAGCCATGTTGAAAGTCGCCATTAGATTACCCCTATTTAATAGGCTATTTTCGCCACTTAATAAGGCTTTGATTTAACCACAAGCCTTAACCCTGCGTTAGTCTTCTGCAAAAATATTCCATAGTCACTCTTGGGGTGTGCTAGCTGACTTCATCATAAAAAATATTTAAATAATAATGATAATCTATTATTTTGGAAACAAAAAAACACTAACACTCAAAATATTTTCCTTTATTAATCAATAAATGAATAGTGAATATTACAACTTGTTTCTTTTTTACCACGTGAACTAAGTGTAACATTTTAACACAAACTAACCAAATACTGAATATACTGAGAGCAACAAACATATACGTGCTTCCATCTGTCGGCGCCAATGTTTACAAAATACTTGGGGTCCGTGAAGACCCCGGAAGACTAACACAGGGTTAAAGTTATTTCAAGAGTTCATAATCAGGTTTAACTGATTTAATAAACAATTGTTTTTATTGATTCAAATAATGAGTACACATTTGATCCAGAAATGGCACATGACCAGAAGTTGCTTTAAGAATAGATAGTAGTTGTGACTGTGATTTTACAACTTTAAAATAAACATTTCTATCTGTACTTCTGACTAACCAATATCCAGTTGACCATACATCATCACTTTTGAATTATCACTTAAAATACAGTTCTCAACCATTTTGTATATCCTGTTCACTGGGATGTTGTTAGCTTCCCTTTGTTGCTATAGCACTCATGTTCTCAGCCAAGGAAATAGGAAGTTTTATTTTTGGCAACCTAGGTGACTTGGAGAATTACCTTATAGCCCATAAGACTCAAGAGTAGACCTGATCTTTAGTATGGCCAAAAGGGAGATAATGAATAAAAATGAATTTTGTACTGACCCACCTGAAACTCAGGTTCGAAATGAAGATCCAAAGGGTTGAGTCCTCAAAGATAGCCTGACTACTGACAACATCTAATGTCCCTCCAGTCTGGAAGTCACTGATTTTGGAGCCACTTGTGGTTGGGAGATTGCCATCTCCTCCAGATATGTTGGTGGAACCAAGCATTCAGATTGTCCAGTCAGTACAACTAATGCCCATTAACATTAAATATCAACCATGAACTGGTGTAGAAAGGAACTCAATATTATGAGCAGGTAAGATGTCTTGTTTGAGATTGTGCAATACAAAGTACATTGGTAGGACTTCTATGTTTCTAAACCTAAACAGACCTTTCTGGAGCTAAGATCTGCCAGAAAGCCCTCCAAATCCTCAACTTCATTGGTTCCAACTGCTTCAACAATGTCCATGGTTTCTAAGTCAGCCATTGTAGATGGTGTCAGCTTTTGGGATGCCATCATCTTTGACTGTTCCACAACCTGTCAAGAGGGCTTGATTGTAGGGATCATTTCTTCATTACACGCTCCAGCAGACCAACACCTTAAAACAAGGCTTAAGCAGCCGTATGGATGGATTCCTTGTTTCTGTACCAATGAGAGGAGAACTATCAATGGGGCTAAGGATAAAAAGAGTGTCCAAAGTATATCAACCACTTCTTTTGATTCAAGTGGTACTGACCCAAACCTAGATAGCCCTGAAAAGAACAAAGAAAAGATATAATTTGGCAGGACAACACCAGCAGCAAAACGTTGGCTGCCACTCTGGAAAATCTCTTGCTGAAATTTCATTAAATAGCTTTGCGGGTAAGTGATGCAATACTTGTATCTTCTTTGTTATCTAATTTTATCTATCAATAACTAGTTAGAGATTTTTTTTAAATGGTGACCTGAAATTATGTGTAACTTATGACATTACTCTTATTCCTTGATGATGCAAATAGCTATAATTATCATTTCAGTGTTGTCTAAATATAATACATTTTCTTTCAATAACCACAGTGATTGTATTGTTTAGATGCTGTGATCTTGTAATATACATGTGTGAGAGAGAATTGTGAAATTGAATTATGTTATTGGATTTTGGATTCTTTTCCATTGTTAGAGGGTTTGGTTGTTATATGTTTTGTGGCACCACACAAGTATAATCTTTAATAAAGGTCATATCCATAGTAGTGGGTTCGGTCCATACAAAAAGAATAAGAAACGAATTTTGACATTTGGCTTGTCTGGAGCAGTTTTGTTAATTTTATACTCGAGTCATGTTTTTAGTACACTTGCACACCTGTAAAGCATTTTATTCCAAAAGCCCTTTTCACCACTGATCATCATGCACGTGTTGGCAAAGTTGGAGACAAAACTTTATTTGTGAAGGTAGTAATTTCAATAAAAAATGCTAATTCCTGACAGAAACAATACACAAGACAACCTTTGTTTCAAATATTAAGCTATTTTATAAAATATTTTAGGTCTATGTAGCTCTTGCTTTCCTTGTAAGTTATTTAATTACGAGTTTAGTAAAGTGATATAGAAGTCTAGATATCTAGTTAAGTTTCACCTATTTAGTTTCAGACTTATTTTTAAAATGTTTAAGATCACAAGGGTCTACATTAAGGGGCCAAATGAGGAAAGGTGGATCTAGATGTGTCGCCTGGTATGTCAAGTTTAAAGACTTGCAACACTAAAATATGGGGCTTGATTCCCTGCAATGGATTGAGTGCAAATAGCCCATTGTGTGGCTTTGCACTAATAAATCAACAACAACAACGAGTCTAGATTTATCTGTTCTTCCAAGTTAATCTTACAAAAGGCAGCCCGTGTACCCACCATAAGTTTCAACAATTTTGTCCTGGATCTCAGAGTGAAAAAAAAAATTTTTTTAACTTGCAATAACAATGTGTCGTAATACTGTATTACTACAATGCTGGAATCTTTGTAAATGGTTTATCGTAATATTTTATTACTGTAAATTACTACTTAAAACTGAATTATATCATTGTAAAGAAATTGTGCTTGTCTATTCTAGTGCTATGTAAGTGTTTTACAGGGGAGAAAGCAACTTGCACCAGATTATTTATGGCCAATACATCTTTTTCTTGTTTTTCATTTCGTAGATTCTGAAATTTAAAATTAGGGATGGCCTGAAGGCAGAGAGGGAAAGAAAAGACTTTAGTATTCAGGCATACTAAATACAGTGTTTATATTCCGTTTTCTAGTTCAGATAAGTGAAATTTTTTCAAGTGTCTTCACATACACATATTTTGATATATAGATTTAACAACAGAGAGTTGATTATGAAACTTGTCTAAAATTTCGTTGCTCTGATTACACGCTGTTATGTGTCAATCCCTTTGGTGTTACATGTGCTTTCTCGTGGGAAAGATTGTTGTTGTTTAGATAGTTTGAATACATTGTGTAGATTTCAGCAGTAGTCTTAACAACTGATGAGTCTTGTGTTAACAAGATAATATAGATCCTTCCTGTATTACTTTTGGATTGACTAACTATGAAGTGCTAAAACTTCCTCTGAAAGAAATTATACTATTGGTTTCTATATAGGAGTTAATGCACTTAGTCTTAGATTTGATTTCATTCTTCTTTGATCCAGATTTCCTCTTGATGAAATCTCTCAACAATCTTTCAGTGTACTTATTTACCTTTATAGATTATTTTTTACTTATGTCCAGAAATTATACTATTGGTTTCTATATAGGAGTTAACTCACTTAGTCTTAGATTTGATTTCATTCTTCTTTGATCCAGATTTCCTCTTGATGAAATCTCTCAACAATCTTTCAGTGTACTTATTTACCTTTATAGATTATTTTTTACTTATGTCCAGTCTCTTTCCTACAGAAAACTAAGTGAAAGCTAGAAACTTGGATTTTCTACATAATTTTCTATTGAACCTCGGATTATTTGCGGATTCTTATATTTTTCTGAACGGGGAGTCAACGAAACTGGGAGTACCATACATATTTGCCACAAAGCATTGTTTAAAAGTCTTCAAAAAACATTGTAAATCAATTATTACATAGAAAAACAAATTGAATTCCCCCCTCCCAAATTCAGGCTATCCATATAAAACTTGAAAATACCTTTAAAAATGAATACCTAAAAACGAAATCGACAAACATAAACATTTCTTTGTTTCTCTTGTGTTATCAGACTCGTAGCTCGTGTTTTTCAAATGTTCTCTACAAATTCTTGTCCGTTTTGTTGATTGGGTGGTACTTAAGAAGAAAAAAACAGCAATTGGATGCATTTTCTTACATTTCTGTTTTTATGCTATCCATTCATAACTAAAAATCAACGTTGATTGATAATGCTTTCTAAGTGAGTATTGTAACGGACAAAATAGAGAAAAAAAAATGTGTTTGTTTTTAAGCAGAAAGTTACATAATGGACTATCTGTGCTCTTCCCACCGCGACTATCGAAACCCGAATTTTAGCAGAACAAAAGTCAGGTAAATAATGAGTAGTACAGGAAACAAAGAGTTAAAATACAACTCTTTTTATTGAAAGTTTGTAAAGCTATGGATATAATTCTAAATAATTGTTTTGTAATTGAATTAAACTGTTAACTCTTTGAATATAATTTACTTGTATATAACTGATACTAACTTTCTATTTCGCTTAAATGAACAATAGTAGTGGCTTAAAAAGAATTATTTTCTCACTCATTTTCCAAATAGAACTAGTTAGAAGTCAAGAACTGTAACAAAGCACATTTTAGCCTAAATAGAATAAAATAGCGTTTTGATATCCGCAGTGGGCAGAGCACAGACAGCTCATGGTATAGCTTTGTGCTTGACAGCAATTAAACAAAAGTACTTTGATTCTACTAACTTAGGTGAAGAAGGTGGTGTTAATTTTCTCTCTCTTTTCTCATTCAGACTTCGTGTATGTATAACGAAAACAAAACGATACTGAGGAAATGTTTGTTTGTTAGTTTGGATTCTTTGCACTCAGTGATACGTTTCACCATAGTTTCTACAGAAAACGACAAATGGTAAGATTGGTAACTGCCTCCAAATACTGGAAAACATCAGAAGAATTGTAAGACTGTGTCCTCTCGTAATCTTATAAGTCATTGTTTTGATTAGTAGATATGTTTCTTACAAATCTTTGGCTTGAAAAGATCAAGTACCTAAAGAATCCCTTTTTTTATTTTTACAAAGTCCTATTTCAGTTCTTTCTACCTGAAAGAAATATACATTTTTCTTCGCGAACTATAGCAATAACTGTTTTCTAGTTCTGAAGAAATCCTCATTGCTACAATATAAATTTAATTTCACAAGATTAAACGATTTCAACTGTAGAGGTCACTTGTGTTGCTGTTTGACAATGTAAACTTTGGTTGATGTTTCATTTTTTTTTACACATATGAATGGCTGCATTCATTATATTTAAAAACCAATGGGTTATAGAAGAAGATAAATCCCAGATTAAAACAAAAACACAAATCCAATGTTTGGAGCGGTTTTGAAACATAAGTTCCCGATAAAATAAAATCTTCCTTTCAAGTTGCCGAGTTTCTTCAACTAAGAATAACTTTCTTTAAATTTCATTATGACACAGTTAAGAGAATCTGCAAAAGACCCAGCCAGTCTGAAAATAATCGTTGAAAACTTCGAGAATATTAGCATTCCTGGAAGTTCTGCCAAGCTCACCTCGCCAATATACTTTCAAGATTTAATACCGACGGACACCACACGGTATTTTCGATATCGCGGATCATTAACCACGCCGCCATGTAGTGAAGGAGTAATATGGACCATTTTTGAAGAAACGGTACCAATAAACTCAAATCTAGTATGTAGTGTTTACTTACTAAGCATTTTCTAGTTTAAATGTCATTATGATAACAACTAATCCACGAAGGATTGAGATAACAATGAATTAATGACGATCTAGACAGTTAATTGTTATTTCTTGTTTCATCTTAGTTAATCGAACGCAAAACATTTAATATACTTACCAAATTATACAAATTGTATTAAAAATGCGAGTAACCACAGTTACAAATCTGGTTACGTAGGACTACTTTAACAGCGTCATTTGTCTAGAAGTATATTATCCATTCAAAAACCATGTTGAAAGTAACACGCGGAGTGCTACATCAGGCCTATTTGCATGATGAGGAAGAACAATCTTTTTTCAGAACTTCTTAATTGCAGGTTGTTTTAAATCAGCAGTGTAGCACTTCGGTTATTATGTAAATACATAACATGTCACGTGATTTCGCTAGCAGTTAATTTAACTAGTGTTAATTTACTGACATTTGACGTATGGGAGAAAAAAAACGGTTTCCCTTTTGTACGTCCCTGTGTCGTTTTTCTTACTAACGGTATCGAATTTTTTTTATAATAAAACTCGATTGGATGTATCTGTACAATTTTTGTTATTTCTCATAGTGATGAAGTTATGAAAATTTTGTTCTAACTTGCTTTCAAGTTCTACAATGTCGACAAATTCACCATATTAATTTTATTTCGGTAGGAATTATTTTTGAAAATACGATATTAGCTTGAAAGTTATAATAGCATTTTCGTATTTTAAACAGATGGTAAATAACCCTCGAAGGTTATAAAGAATAACATGTGTATACCTAAGTTTAGTAGAAAACAAAAATGCTCTATTCTTAAGCCTACGATGTATACATTTTAAATTTTTAACAAATGTCATTTTGCTAGTTTGATCCCTTCATTATTTTTTACTTAATATTGAATTATTATAGAACATACAATGACCTCTCAGTCTGTATTATGAGATTTGGAGGCTTACTCCAAGGGTAATAAAACAATAGTTATGTTATCATATCATGGGTGGATTTTATTGATTAATATTGAATTCGAATGACGTCTTAGCTCATACTCTGATAGTTTCTATTCTTACTTTCAATCACTCGTAACACGTGGTATTAAGATAAATTTCTTTCTATAGACTTCTATCGAATGTTCTCTTATGTCTATGTGTTGTTTATTTTTCCAAATATAGCTTATAAAGTTCAACACGCTCAAGGACTCTAATGGAAATCCATTTCAACAATGTCATCGACCAGTGCAGCCCTTGAAGAACCGACCAGTTCTAAAATCGCCCCGAAACTTGACGGTTCAAACAACAACGTTCGAAAACAAAGTGGAAGTTTAGAATACTTTTCAGAATGTTTCCTTCAATTATATTATTGAGTTTTGAGATGAAAAATTGAAGGTCTTCTAAGCCGTCCATATTGGCTGTCGCTAAGTTATTTATATTTGAACTTGTATAAAATTTTACCAAAGTCTTTATCCTTTCGTTAGTTCTATGTTACCAAAGTAAAAAGTAACCCCAAATCGCAGGCTAATATTTAATTTTTATTTACAGTTTGTAAGTCGCATCGGGTCTGAATAAATTGTTTTAATTTTTATACTTGCATTAGTTTTTATTTTAAATCGAGAAAACTTCGTTTTCATTGGGTTTTTAAAGTAAGTCTGGGGTCCGGCATATTTCAACGTTTTTAAGCCAATAGGGTCATTCTATTAAGCTGAGCTTTTTTTTTTTTTTTAGATGGCGTATTTCCTGTTGACGAATAATGTTACTCTACGATTAGTTAGTAAGAAGTTATTAACACTGTTTAAATAAATACTCATTGTGTAAGATTGAAAATAAGCCGTGTTTAAACGTATTGAGATTAAAGAAATCTGTTTAACATCATCAAACACTTTGAATTTTATAATATTTATTGGATTTTTGAATCATTTTTAATTCATTATACAATAATCTACATTAATTTAGTTGTGTGAATAATGTTATAACAGTGAAAAGGGATATGACAAGTGACTTCCAAAGGTAATTGTTGAATGTATAAGATTATGACAAGCGCCTTCCAAGGGTACCTATTGAGTGAATATGAGAATGTCATGTAGCTGTTTTGAATTCTTCATGCAATCATGGTAATCAGTGTCTGATACGCTTCATTTCAGCGTTATGCTTACTTTCAAGTGAAAGTCAACAAGAATCGTGGAACCATTAATGACTTAACATCCAGAAGTGTGAAGTGATCAAATACAGTTTAAAACTACCAACTTCGAGATATTTTCTTTATTAATTTGTAGAATCAGATCCACATTTAAATTCCCAGTAATTTGTTGGGTTGCTAAAGTTAAATCAATGAAATATTTCTATCTGTGACAAGATTGGAAGAATTATGACATTAAATTTCAAATACGAAAATCAAAATTAGTTAACTAATTATATATTGACAAATGTTATTAATTGTATGCAGTGTGTTGATGTTTAAAATTCGAATCGATTCTGTGATAGATGTATTTTTAACTGATATATAATTAATTGGTAACACTTATTTTACCGTACAAAATTCTATTCATTATAATAATGTGGGATATATATTTTTCGTTTTTTAATTTAGATGTTTGTACTGTTGCTTGGCTAAAGAGGCTGATGCAACCTGATAGATGTGGCTTAGTAACGAGAACCTTCTTGAACAAGAGGGCATCCTTAATAGCCGCGGCTGACATTAGATCTCAAATCATTCAAGCTATGAGCTAAAAGTTTGTACTTGAAAAAACAAGATTGTTTGTTATTAAGCACAAAGGGCTATCTGTGCTCTGCCCACCACGGGTATCGAAACCCGGTTTCTAGCGATGTAAGTCCGCAGACATATCGCTGTGCCACTGGGGGCAAAGGGATGGCAGCTAGTCAACACCACCCACCGCCAACTATTGGGCTACTCTTTTACCAACGGATAATGGAATTGACCGTCGCATTATAAAGCCCCCACGACTGAAAGGGCGAGCATGTTCGGCCACTGGGATTCGAATTCGCGACCCGCAGATTGCGAGTCGAGCACCCTGACCACCAGTCTATACCAGGCCTTCAAAAAACAAACAAACTCAGAGCCATTCTATGAGCCGGTGTGCCGCGGCTAAAAAGTTTAACATAAGACACTAGTTAGGCTAGAGTAAAGATTAACGAGTCAATTGGTCAGTTTGTCTGTTAGTTTTGTTTATGTTTCAAACAAAGATGTAAGAAAGTGCAGTACGAGCGAAAGGAATTAGCAAGTAAATGAAATTGTTATCTTAGTGTCTATCGCGAAACTGGCTCTATAATTACTAAAACGTTTTTATTATCATTCAGTGTGCTGGTATTAGCATTATTTTTCACCGAAAACTAAAAAAAACCCACTGTACAATAGAAACTATTACAACAGTAACGATTTCTGATCATAAGTAAGCTACTTTTATGTATATATAACATACATAAATTAAAGAGTAACTTATAAATGAATAAAAACAACTTTATGCATAAAACTTGCAATAAATACA